TGCTACCACCCCATGTGTACATATCCCCAGAAAGTGTTACAGCACAAGAATGGTACTCCCCACATGCTATAAGTTCAACGTTGACATTTTTTAGTGAATCTATAAGCTTTGGATGTGAGACATCAGAGTCTACACCATGCCCCAGTCTACCTCCTAATTCCTCTCCCCAAGAAAACAGCTCTCCTTGCTTTGTCACCAAAGCAGCATGTTGCCTACCACAAGCAATATTCTGAACATCCAGCGTGACAGCAGATTCTAAAGCTTTAGGCACAAGAGAATCCATCTTAACACCAAGAGAGACTCCAGCTCTATGCATTCCACCACCCAAAATGCCATCACCGGTACCTTCACCCCAAATAAAAACATCTCCTAAAGAATCACCATCATCATGACCAGAGCCCTGGCTTGAAGAACTAACAGCACTTGACAAACTAACTCTAAAAGCCTCACCATTCATACCCTTCATCCGCCCAGCATTTCCATCTGAACCACCAGATGACAGAGAATGGATTGATCCAGAAACAGATTCTAATGGAAATAAGGCTTTAGGAGGCATTGCATATAATATTACGTCATTTAAAGCCTTGTCTAAACCAACTTTAGGAGGGCTTCCATATGGAGTACGAAGACGAAGGGCATCCATACCATCCTATATAAACAAGAATTCCCTCTCTTAGTGTATAAAAACTGTCAAGTAAATATTAGTAACTAGGGGTATAGGGGTTGGACAGTAAAGAAGACCTTCTGAGAGCTACCACCACTGCCAAATGCAGAGCCCAAAGGAGAACTTGTTTGGGTTTGTGCTCTAGGGCTAGTAGCTTCAGATGAAACTCCATCACCCCGCAATTCTTCTCTACCTTTCCGCTGGGTACCACGTGATATTAGTGCTTTTAGACCAGTAAACCAGACTTCAGCTTCATCTTTATCCTTGCAGATCTGGTTAGGGAGAGTATTAATGGACAATATGTTGCAAATTAACAGAAAGATGAAACATACATATAAAGAAAATGAGATACTTAGAAATAAGATACATCCTGAGGATAGAGAGTAAAAAACAAAATCTGACCACCGAGAAAGATAAGCTTACCACATCCAATGACCTGTCATTATATATAAGAGAAAATGACTGGTACTCTTTCTCAGGCCTAGGATACCTTTGAAATATTGGCTGCAGCAGACAAAATAATGAAGTGATCACTAAGTACAGCAGTGTCTCGAGGAGAAAATAATTGAAATTTTACTGGAATTCACAACTGGCATCACTTATGATAAATGCTAAACATACTTCACAAAACAAGGATCACACTTAATTGCCCATGATAGAATGTCCGTAATAACTTTGATGCTCCCATCACAATATAGATCATCATATGAACAAAACAAAAGACCATTCAGTTCTATAAAGGAGTCAATAATGAAGCTGGGACACATGAAACTTTCAAATAGATATCCAAGGAAAGTACGTATTCGATTCTGGCACAAAAAATTAACATCTCGCATCACCCAGAAACAAAATCAAATCTCACAGGTAATGTTTGATAAAATAAGAATTAAAAAAGAAACATTGTTATAATTATCTCCTTGCAAAAAAATTGCATGGAATCAATAGAATTATTTGCATAGTCAATATAGTGTATAATATCTTAACAAGGATATACTTACAGTACGCTGCCCAGGTATGATTCTGGAGACTTGACTCAGTTTAAGGTGTTTCTCGTCTTTCCCAGAAAACCATATCAGTGCAGACTCATCCTGAAGGGAAGAAAAAAAAAAAGCTAAGCTATCCAGCATACCACTCAGTCTTATCAAACTAAAGTATGGTTTGTGACATTTCCCCAGTTGCAATTGCATCTAAAATAGTTCTTCACATTCATATAGACATGCAAACATAGTATGACTACTGAGATCTTTATGCCTGTCTTGCAAATAAAGGCCTGAAGTTGTTCATGGAAATTTAAAACGGATGATAGTCTCACATAGCTGCAGCAAGAAAGAATGTGGATTTTCTTCCTTTAGTACCTAGAAGGGAATCAGCAATGTTATTTTAACATATCTTACATTAGCCAGCCTGAAGGGGCAAAATTTGGGCTTTCCTCTACGTCCGTACTTGAGCAAATGGGCTCCCTTCTTAAGAGATGTGATGGCCTGTTCCAACGGACAAGCAAATATCTGAACTAAAACATAGAAAGCATGATCTGCAAATCTTTCATGTGAAACAATATTTTAATCATAAAATTTTATGATAAGAATAATCCTACATGAAAAGGAAGATACTGAAGATTCTACATAAGCAATAGAAGATGATACCATATGAACAAAATAATCATTTGAAAGATTTTGCAAAGAAAAAAATACTAATAAAAATAGCTG